GAGTGCGTTGTATACAATAAAGACGCTCACAACCGAAAAGAAGTGATTGGCGGGGGATCCCTTGGTGGTCGCAGAACAACAAGGCCGCAAACAAGATAAAAAAAGATCAACTCCAAGGGACTGGAAACAGCATCCGGTCAATCATTAATAAGAAATGTTCATGTGGAGTATCTTATTCAGTAAGGCCGACAAGCGGCATGGCCTGCTACCAACCCTTTGTTTTTTATGGGACAAGTCATAGGTTGTCAGAGTGAAAAGTTTTTATTCCGTAAGGTATAAGTACATCGGATTTCGTTATAGGTGCCAGTGGAATCGAAGATGGTGTCAAAATGACCTGAACTACAAGTACAATTAATTCATAGGCATATTTCGGAATAAGAAATTGTGACGAAGTTTCATGCTGGGAGATTGGAAATCAGAGAAGGCTGATGATGGTTTCTTGCGGGGCGACATGCTCGAAGATGACTCGGTGGAAGGGCAGGCCAGAACTGGAATGTTTCTAAGTTCTACGAGTTCATCAGATTCCGATAGGGCGTTGAAGAAATCAATGGATCTTTTGTCAAATTCTCCACTGCAGCCAAAACATCATCAAGACATTCATGATCTACATTAGATAAATCATTGCCAACAGTTATAGACGAGGATGATCCCATATTAAAATCAAGAGAAGAAATTGTGGCACCAGGGCCGGGGACATCAGAGTCCAGCATCGAGAAACCATCCTGGGTCGACAACCATTGTCCAACCACCATTGTGTTTCCTGAGGCAACTTGTTAGTTAGGCCAAAAAAAAAAGATTTACTCCAAGAATCTCACCCAATGACAAGTGCATTTGAATACATGATTGAGGTGATGCCCCAAAACACAGACACATTCCCGGTTCAATCAAATATATAGTCGTAAAAGGTTCGGCAGAGCAATAGTTAATACCAGTCTCGACCAAAAATTAAGTTTTCATTCTGGTCTTTCGAGACATGCATAGTCATTGTTGATGTGAATGAACCAGTGGAGGTCATGATCGTGAAGGTAACCGGTAGAGGAGAATCGATGCAACTGCAGTGAGAGAAGAACCAGTAGAGTTACAGTCATACACAGCAATCATCTCCTGACCGTTGATTGAGACACGAAATTATGGAAGAGAACAGAGATGCAACCGCAAGAACATCTAGAGCAATTATGCGACTCTTTCGACCGCCATGATCCGACCGATAGAAACACATAGTATTTTTGCATACAGCTATGCAATTTTCACACAGCAAAATGGCCGGCCAAAACTCATAAGGGTCCTTCACTACTAAAAACCCCTAGTACTACCTAAAGGTAGCGGGAACAAAGGTAGCGGGAATAACAAAGGCAATCATGCAACAGACGAGTATTACAAAAGGAGGCGTTTTCATCGGTCCAATGGTTATGATTTCTGTCTTACACACAGAAGGTCTCCAGTTCGATCCTGGATTGGACCATGACATTTTCGAAACCTTTTTTTGTTCGTTTACTACTTTTAACCATGAACAACTGAGACTTTATTTTTTTCTGTACCTATACCATCGTCCTCAAAACCGGTTCCCAGAGCATCGGCAAACGAGTCTGGATTAGACAGATGGTGTGAACGAAAGGTATTGGTTGGCTTGGCAGCAAAACCGACTCGAGAATCTGTTGAACTAAGGCCATTCCATCGGTGTACCAAATTACCGGATTTCCCACTGATGGTGCGTGGTTTCTTCTTGCGGTGGCAGAGCCATCCTGCTACGACAGTTATAAAAAGAGCTGCAACTCCTAGACTGACGCCAACAATGATGCCTATATTTACGACGGCTGATACGACGGCTGCAGGGGATGATGCCTGTGAGGAGGTGGTTGATTGTGATTGTGAAGTAATAGAAGCTGGGGTTGATACCGGCGTTATGGTGGTGGTGCCGGTACCAGAAGGTATGACAACAAGACAAGACGTGTTAGTTCCCGTGAAAACGTAAAAGAGCTCTTGGACCGGGGATATCGATGCTGATAGACTATACCATCCTTGAGGGACATTAGCAGAAGTCCAAACGAACGTGCGAGATGATGCTGTGAGGTTCGTCCCGATTGTCATGGTTATATCAGAAGTACTGATGGGTATGATGGGTGTGGTTGGTATCGCACGTCCGATGATGCTCGTTTCAATATTGCGGGTCGTAGAGGGTATTGGGGGAGCTGCAATCTGATCTACACCGACGTTGGTGACTTGAAGGTCCAGTGAGGCGC